CCCCGCCTTTTTCTGTTTTGGTGAAACACCAATGGGTGGAGTCCAGTACACATTTATTCAACAAATAAATGGTCTCAGTGAGCTCTGCATTCATTCTACCTTGGCCTCAAAGCAGACTTTCCCTTTTGTCACTCCGTAAGTACTCCTTGCCCCGGACCAAAGGGTGGGGAATTTCTCTGAGAAAAGTGGCTGCCCTCCATAACGGTCTTTGCTCACTTGAAAATGGAGATCCGAGGTATCTATTTAAAAGGGAGAAGGGGGAAAAAAATGCAGTTTACTCCAACACTTGACACTTGAAAGCGACCAAAACACAAATGCAAGCAGGAACAATCCTTATCGACAAGGGATAGAAAAACCTTGCACAATTAAATCTCTCCAAAGCTGGAGGCCTTGGAATTTACATCTCCAAAATCCCTTCCGGTTGATTAAAGGCCCCAAACTTTCTGCCTCATACATACACGTGTCCAGGTTCACAAGGGTCTGATCCTCTTCCTCATCTTTTGCTTCTTCTTCAGGGGGCGGTGGAGACTTGGAGCTACACACACGGGGAGGGGAGGGAGAGAAAGCACACGTAAAGGAAAGTCCTCTGCCACGGGGGGTACCTGCATGACATCACATCCCTCTTAAGCTAGCAGAAGTACGTAAAAGTCCAGAAGACAGCTCCTTGCGGGAAGTGGGGAAGGGCAACGGGAGAGATTCAGTCTAGAACTGGAGGCCTACAAAACCTACTGCATTTGTCATCCACCCCTCTCTCCAATCAACACCAGGTAGACCGAAACCAGAGCAGACACTGCTTTCAACGAAAGGGTCTGTTCCCCCTCACCGGCTGTGGTAAGCCTCCTCTCGGAATTCATAGTAAGCTCGGCCATGTTCATCCTTCTCATCCCGCTGTCTCTTTACCCCCCGCCGCTCACCATCTGAGCCTGCTGGTTTTGACTTTTCACTATCTTGGTCATCTCCTACAAAAAGGAGGGAAAGAAAATCAGCAGTCTTCATATTGGCGTACCGAATAACCTCCCAGAACCAAGGGAAGTTGAACGGGGGTCTGAGTATCTGTCTGATGAGGACAGAAGGGGACTGGCCTACTCCAGGTGCAGTTCGTTTTATTTCCCGAGATCGTCTATCTCCCATGGGTGGAATTTCTTTTAGAAGCACAGAAGGGGGAAAGAAAAAAAAAAAGATGACAGGCGACTCAAAGTCAAGCAATAGATGCGAACTGAACAACTTTTGTAATCTACGTTTAACCTGTTTAAATCAGACCAAACATGCAGATTTTTCCCCCACCCATGTGACAGGCAAACAATCCCCTGGACCTTTTAAATGAAAAATTTCACAGGCGAGTTTAACTTTGGTTCTTGTCAGACTTGAATCCGCACTAGATACAACACAGACACTGTTGCACAACTGAACTCTCAAAAAAAAAAAAAAGTTCGTCTTCTTGCTTTAAAATGCACCGCCCTCCATACAGCAACTGGCGAAAGTGCATGATACAGAACTGTACTGGTAGCATGGGTTTTCACCAAAGGTGTGACAGGAACCCCAAAGTCACAAGAGATCCATAAATACTACCACATCTTTACTGCAGGTAATTTGGGACAGAAAGGTGTTGTCACACATTTAGTAACATTTCTTTACAGGGGAGGAAAGGAAGAAAAACAACAACATTTTCCCTTAGGCTCTAAAGTTTGCAACACTAACAAGATTCTTTTTTTCAAAAAAACAATAATTCCTCCCAAGCAATTCTTTACTCCCAACTCATCGGCATCTGTTCTTTGGGATACACGTTGAGTCAAAGGTTATGTAATGGGACATAGGACAAACAATCTGCAAGTTGCATGTGACTGTGATAGAATGGGTTCCAATTCTGTATGCCACATGAAGCAGCAGCTTTAAAAATGTTTCTTACAAAAAAGAAGGAAGGCCACCCACTTCATAGGAAGACTTGGTTCCAGTCCCCTCCTACTCTTGACAGCTATGGGTCGACCTGCACCATTCAATCCCTTCAAAGGCAGGGAGAAGAAAGGTCACCATCTCGCAGTGGCTACACATTCCCCTCCACAAGGTTATTATCAAAGGACCCCAACACCTCAGCCATTTCCAAAAAAGAAAAAAGAAAAAAAAAAGTCTGGGGCCTGAAATGCAAAAGTGTGAGCTCAAGGGTCCAAGCGAATCCACCCATTCACCCACCCACCCCAAGCAGAGGGAAATTTAAAAAAATGGGATCAAAGCACGGGCAAGGTATTTAAAAAGAGAAAAAAAAAATCCCTCCCCGAGGGCCAGCGCTTACTCGAGTCGCAGGAGATCGAGACTTTCTCCTGCTAGTTAACTATTAAACTCGACACCTCCCTCCCGACGCGGGCGGCGCGCGGCGGCTCAGCTCAGGGGCAAGGTTAGATTTCCCGATTCCTCGGGGCGGCCCAGGCGCGAACGGCCGGGGGCGAACTTAGACGAACCGCGCGCGTTGCCTAATATTTTCATGGCGACAAAGTCAACAGTCAAGGAGCCCAAAGGCCGGAGAACTCCAGCAGGAGTCGGCCAGGCCGTCCGGGGAAATCGCCCAATGCCTCCGATCGTTTTCAGTTTTGGACACACACTCACACACGCGCGCGCGCACACACACACACACACACACGCACGCACGCACAGGCACACGATCGCCACGACGGCGGGAAGCTGCTCCACAGGTAGCGCACATGCAGGTCGCATGCAAAACCGTCCACCTTCCAGCCACCGAGACCCCCGCCCCCAATCACCACCCACCTTGCAAACCTCCCCCCAACCAACAACCCCGGGCAGTGACAGCCACCCCCCACCCCGTTCCCTCCTTTCCCCCAAGACCGGCGGAGGATGAAAACCACCGCCCCGGGGAGGTGCCGTCTAACCGGGATGGGCATCTTGCACGTCGGGGCAAGTGCCAAGGAGGGATCGGAGCCCGCGCGCTGCAGCGCCGGGCTCCGCGGCCAAGTGCTCACCCTGTTCCTCCGCGGCCTTCTCGCCCGGCGCCTCGGATCCCGCCGTCTCGTCCCCGCTCCGCTCCTCCGGCTCGTCTTCCTCCCCCTTGCCGGGGCCCTGCTCTTCGCCACCATTCACCCCACCTGACTCGGCCGTGGCCTCCTCCGCCGGCTGCTCGGGAGCATCGGCCTCGGCCGCGGCCTCCATGGCCGCCGCCTCCGGGGGCTCCGGCGGCGGCTGCGCAGCCTGGCCCGGGGCCTGGGCAGGGGGTGGCTCCTCGTCCTCGTCCTCAAGCAGCGCCTCCTCGTCCTCCTCCTCCTCCTCTTCGTCCTCCTCCTCGTCCCCGCCCGGGCCGCCGCCCGACGCGGCCACAGGCCGAGGCTCCGCCTTGCAGGCCCCGCCGGGCCCGGCCCCGCCGCCGCCGCCAGCCTCGTCCTCGAGCATCTCGGCGTCCAGCGCCTCCTGCAGCCGCTGCGCCAGATCCATCTTGAGGCCGCGCGAGTCCAGGCCCCGCCGCTGCAGCTCCGACCGCAGCTCGGTCACTTTCAGCCGCTTCACCTCCATCGCTGCCGCCGCCTCCTCCGCCTCCCGCCGCCTCCTCCCCTGCGAACCGTCGACCGAGCCCGACCGCGCAGGCGCCGCTGCCGCCCGCCTCCGCCTCACGCGCCAGCCCTGAGCCCGCGCGAGCGAGCGAGCGCACGCACGTACGCACGCAGGCCGGCCGCGGGGGCCGCGCGCAGGCTCCGCTACCTACTATTTGTTTCTCCCGGCCGCCTTCCCCTCCCCCTCTCGGCCCTCGGAGCCCCCAAACAACGCAGCGAGTCGTCGCTTCGCTGCCAGCCCCCGCGATTTCCCCCAGCCGCGGGCGGGCGCGCGCCGACGACGACGGACTTCCTCCCCTCGGCCGCCCGCCCCCTCGCCGCGCCTCGGCCAATCGGCGCCCGCGGCCCCACCGCGCAGCCGCACGGGAGCCGGCCTAGCTTGGCTCCGGCTCAAGTGCCTCGTAGCACCGCGGCGAGTGCGCGCCGGTCTTGCTGTACTTCAGCCGGCTCCTCTGCGCAGCCGCCGGGCGCTGCCGTGCTGACGCCCCGCCCTCTGGGTCGCCACCCTATTCCCGTCCGCGTCCCGGGAGCGCTCGGGTCTGAGGATTGGTCTGCTAGTCGCTTCTCCGCTGTCTATAGGTTCGGCGGCTCCCGGAGGAGTTGTGAGAAAGAAAGAAAAAAAAAGGCCGGAAGGGAAACTGATGCAACACGAAAGCCCACTGGCAACTGTTTCTTCTGGTTAGTGAGCCAAAGGGACTCCAAAACGAAGGAACACGCAAGCCCTGGCCGCGGTTCCGCCTGACTCACGCAGTTTCTACCCAGCAACCAGACACCCTGACCTCCCCTCCTTTTTTTCTATTGGCCAACTTGAATCGTCAGCGGCGATTCTGATTGGCCACTCGAGATCGATTGGAATTTTCCAATTGGCGAGGCTGCCCGGGGAATTTTTTTTTTCCGGGTTGGTCCGCTGGGGAGCCGGAGAGGCGAGGGTCGTTTCTGAGGGATTACTTTTCCGGGGCTGCCTCTGATTGGGCGGTGCGGCGCATTGCGCGCGACGTTGTAGACCACCACCACCTCCCCCCAAACTGTCAGGAGACGGGGCTGGGCTCCACCGCCCGGAAGCCTTAGTCCAGGGACTGACTTCCGGACTCGGGCACAAGGGCGAGGCGCCAGCACGATGGGGTTTGGGGAGACGCTTTCAACGAGCTCCGCGGTCGCGGCAGTCTCGGCCCTTGCGCGGGGGATCACGGGCCACATTCACCCCGACTCCCTAGCCTCTGGCCCCGACGTCAAGAAAAGCTCGTGGAATAAGCGCAAAACGAAGCAGGTGGAGGAGGCAAGCCGGCTACTCTTTTAGCAATTGTTCCCGCCCACTTCCCTTCTACTTCCAGGTCAAGGGAGGTGTGTCCAAGGGGAAGGCGGAAGTGGTTCCCGCCGGCGCCCGCTGGCCTGCCAAGTGCCTCAGTAGGGCTTCTTTGCCTCCTTGGGGACTGCTCGGCCCGGAATCGCCCCTTAGGAAATCACTTAGTCTCGGCTTTACTAGCCCCACATCCTTTCCCTAGTTTCTTGCACTTCTAGAGATCGAAAACTACTGCAGAAACAAGCAAAGCTCATTCCCCGGGCGGGTGCAGGGGGGCTCCAGAAAAAGGGCAATTTCCCGCGTCCGTCAATCGAAATCGTTTCTTTTGCCCCCTATTCCAGAGCTTCAGTGGCTCGGTTGCTTCCCAGTTCTGCAAGAGCGCTGGGCGACAGAGTAATGGAGAAGCGCCTGCAGGAGGCTCAGCTGTACAAGGAGAAAGGGAACCAGCGTTACCGGGAAGGGAAGTACCGAGATGCTGTGAGTAGGTACCACCGAGCTTTGCTTCAGCTACGGGGTCTGGATCCAAGTCTGCCCTCCCCGATACCCAATCTGGGCCCTCAGGGCCCGGCTCTCACACCTGAACAAGAAAACCTACTCCACAGCATCCAGACAGACTGCTACAACAATCTAGCTGGTAAGAACAGGGCTGAAGGGCGGGTAGGATAACGAGGCAGGCACATGGAAACCGATGGACCTTGGGGAAAAAAAAACACCAGCGTGCTCCTCTGCCGTCGTCTAGGTATTCTGCCTCGAGTGGAGATTGATAATTTCCCATTTGAAGGACACAGTTTCTTGAGCGCTCACCTGGAGAATTTGTTAAACACGATTTCTTGAGCCCGATACATTGCCCTGTATTGAGTAGAGCAAATTGGGGACCTGCCCGTGTATGTTTCTTGTTTGTTTGTTGTGGTTTTGGGCCACACCTTGCCCTGTTCAGGGTTCACGCCTGATCTGTGCTTAGGGCTTACTTCTGGCTCAGGGCTCACTTCTGGTGGGGCTCAGGGGACCATATGGGGTGCCGGGGATGGAACCCGGATTGCCTATGCAAAGCCAGTGCCTTATCTGCCCTGTACTATCACTCTAGCCGACTTAAGAATGGTGCTAATGTCTTTCCGGAGCAGTGATAAAATAATGAGTTTATGGTAGGAATTGTGAGAGTCTGGAGAGATCTTTCAAAAAAGTATGGAAGTGTGTGTTTTGCAGGTAGAAGCTCAGGGTTTGGTCATTTCCCCACATTATCACGTGATCCCCTAGCTGTTGGATCTAACCCAAAACCTGACTCCCCCAAAAAAGGCGGGGGCAATAAAAAGTTCCTTGCTATAATGGAAAATATTTAGGTAATGAGAGGTGAAGGTAACATTGAAAGAAATCATAAAAGGTCTGGAGAGAGATCTCAGCAGACTGGAGGGCTGCTTTTAACTTTCTTCCCCACTCTTTGTATTTCTATTTATTTATTCCTATTTCTATTTATTATTGTAACAGGTAACCTGTTACAATAGTGCTAGTGTTTATGGTATTGATTACAGTCACCTTACCTCACAGCATCTCAGTGCCCAACACCATCCAATGTTCTTTGGTTTGGGGGCCACACCTGAAGATGCTCAAGGGTTACTCCTGGCTCTGTACTCAGGAATTACTCCTGGTAGTGCTCAGGGGACCATAGGGCATGCCGGGAATTGAACCTAGGTCTGCTGGCATGCAAAGCAAATACTCTACCTACTATCACTCAGGCTCCACCAATGTTCTTATGTTACTTTCAGTCAACCTATTTTATTTTATTTTGTTTTCATCTTTCTCTCCTGCTGCCCCCTGCCCCTTCCCTCTCCCCCCCACTCCACTTCCTGACTTGGTATTCTCAGTTCTGTGTAGTTCAGGGCCGAAGATGTTTTATTTTGGTTTTATTGGGCTACATCGGGTGGTTTCAAGGACTTCCTTCTGGGGTTCTTTGCTCAGGGATCATGCCTGGTGGAGCTCGGGGACCATATACAGTGCCAGGGATGGACCCAGGTTAGTTGCAGTTAAAATCAACACCTTACCCCTATACCAGCTCTCCATCCCCCCAAGGGCTTGTTATTGTATATTTGATATTGTTGATGAGAGATGTGACTCCAGAGTGCCCCAGGTGAAGTAGGGAGCAGGGGCGGGGGTAGCCTCAAGAAAGGACTCTTCTGTGTCCCTCAGGCCCCTGGGGAAGCACCTCTGGGGGAATTAGGGCCCGTGAGAACCAGCTCTAAGCACCTGTGTGTCAAGAACTCCCTCTTCCCAGCCCCAGGAGGCCATCAGCAAAGCACACTTCCACCTGATTTCGAAGTTTACTGGAACTCAGGCTGGAGCAAGTAATTGCTCTTTTGAGGAGACGAACTTCTTCAATCTTCCCTAGATTTACCAGGCTTTCTACCTTCCCTCATAGCAGAGAATTTCAGAGAGGGATGAATAGTGAAATAAAATTGGTTTGGGAATAAGAGGACCGAGAGAGAAAGAGAGAGGTTTGTGCTCAAGAGAGAACGTGGACATCTCCAGAGTGGAAGAAAACAAGTACACATCCCTAGCAGTGAAATGGGCAGCGGTGCCATGTGCACGTTGGGGCGGAGAGAGAGGGAGGGAGAGAGAAGATAGCAGATCTGATGGGAGAGCAACTTTGGGCCTGGGATCCCTGGTGAGTTGTGTGGCCTTTGTGCCCTGGTATCCTTGGCTTCTCTCCACCCACAGGGTCCAGCCAGACTCTGGGCCTGGAATTGTGCATCTTCCAGGATTTCCAGGCTCCTTCAGATAAGGCCTGTGGCTCAGAGTCCTTCATGCCCATGTTTTTCTCCCCGTCTACTCACCCATCTCTCTGCCTGCAACCAAGCTGCCTAGTCCCTGCTTTTGTTTCCCTACCACAGATGAGTGAGATTATCCCGTATGGATCCATCTCCCTCTGGCTTCTTTTGCTTCACATGAGGCCCTTCAGGTCCATCCAAGATGCAACAAATCACACGATTTTATCTTTTCTTCTGGAGGCACAGTAGGCCATTGTGTGTATCTCTCATGATTTTATCTGTCATTGAACATTGGGTTTGTTTTCATTTCCTGCCTGTCGTGCTAAGCACGGCAGTGAGCATAGATGTGCATATATGTGTGTGTGTGTACACACACATACACGGCAGAGTCTGGCAAACTCCCCGTGGCGTACCCAATATGCCAAATACCAGTAACAATGATGGGTCTCATTCTCTTAAAGAGCCTTGAATATAATCTCAGGGCTAGGATGAAGGAGACGTTACTGGGGCCTGCTCGAGGCAATTGACGAATAACAGGATGGTCGTGATTTGGTCGTGTACACGCACACACACAAGAAAAAAACTTTTCAAGTTAATTTTTTTGTGAATTTTTTGGAGAGATGACAAGAAGTGAATTGCTGAATTTATTTACTTAATTATTTATAGTTTCTTTGGAGAGACCACACCCGCCAGTGCTCAGGGTTTACTCCTGGCAGGACTCAGGGAACCATCCCTGGTCCCTGGGGATTGAACTGGGTTGGCTGTGTGGCAGGCAAGTACCTTACCCTTTATACTATCTTTCCAGTTCCAGAATTGCTGACTCTTAGGGAAGCTCTATTCTTTTTTGGAAAATTGCCATTAAAAAGAAATCTGGGGGGCTGGAGCAGTAGCACAGTGGGTAGGGCGTTTGCCTTGCACAAGGCTGACCCAGGTTCGATTCCCAGCATCCCATATGGTCCCCCGAGCACCGCCAGGAGTGATTTCTGAGTGCATGAACCAGGAGTAACTCCTGTGCATTGCTGGGTGTGACCCCCCCCCCCCCCGCAAAAAAAAAAAGCAAAAACAAATCTGGGCTGGAGTGATAGCATAGTGTGTAGGGTGTTTGCCTTACACGTGGCCCACCCGGGTTCAATTCCCAGCATCCCATAGGGGCCCCTCAGCACCACCAGGAGTAATTCCTGAGGGCATGAGCCAGGAGTAACCCCTGTGCATTGCCAGGTGTGACCCAAAAAGCAAAAATAAAATAAAAACAAGAAAGGAGACAGAAGCAAAAGAAAAATCATGGAGTCGTGAGACTAGCAGCCTCGTGGACTGAGATCTCATTACAATATTTGTTGCTTTGATTTGAGAATCATTAGGGGGAGAACTTATATGATCATACGATCTTTGATATTTTACTCTAACAGGCCTAAAGCCTATAGGGAGGTCTATAGGGAGGGTCTCGGTGTACTGGGACAAACTTCTCTGTTATGGGCTTGTCTCAAGGGATTATTTCTTAGAGGAAGGCAGGCATGGGGGTGGGTCACACATGACTGTGCTAGGGTTTATTCCTGGTTCTGCACTACTGCTTGGGGCTCACGGTCCATATGGAGTTTCAGATTGAACCTGGGTCAGCCATGGGCTAAACCTACTGTACTCCCTGATTTATTTATTTTTTTACTCTTTTGCTTTTTTAGGTCACACCCGGCAATGCTCAGGGTGTGCATGGCAAATGCCCTACCAGCCCCTGTACTCCCTGATTTAAATCTACTTGGGGTAGGGGGGGGGCCGCGGGGAAAGGGGGGATGGGCTGGAGAGATAGCACAGCGGGTAGGGCATTTGCCTTGCACGTGGCCAACCCGGGTTCGATTCCCAGCATCCCATATGGTCCCCTGAGCACCGCCAGGAGTAACTCCTAAGTGCAGAGCCAGGAGTAACCCCTGTGCAATGCCGGGTGTGACCCAAAAAGCCCCAAAAGAAAAAAAAAGAAAAAAAAAACTACTTAGCGGGGCTAGAGCAATAGTGTAGCAGGTAGGGCGTTTGCCTTGCACGCGGTGACCCGAGCTTAATCCCCGGCATCTCATATGGTCCCCCAAGCACCGCCAGGAGTAATACCTGAGTGCAGAACCAGGAGTAACCCCTGAGCATCACTGGTTGTGACCCAGAAAGAAAACACAGTAGCACTATCCTCCCATTGTTCATCGATTTTCTTGAGCGGGCACCAGTAATGTCTCCATTGTGAGACTTGTTATTACTGTTTTTGGCATATTGAATATGCCACGGGGAGCTTTCCAGGCTCTGCCGTGTGGGCAAGATACTCTTGATAGCTTGCGGGGCTCTCCGAAAGGGGTGGAGGAATCGAACCCAGGTCGGCCGCATGCGAGGGAGACGCCCTACCTGTTGTGCTATCACTCCACCCTACGGGCCAGAAAGATACCTCAATGGCGGCTGAGCACATGCATGCAGGAGGCCTGGGTTTGATCCCCGGCACCACATGAGTCCCTACAGGAGTGACCCCTGAGTGAGGCCTGGGGAGGTGACTCAGAGAGCAGAAGCACATGCTTTGCCCCTGGGTTCAGCCCCTGGTATCACATGGTCCCTGGCACCCTAAACTTTGATAATCCCCAGAGTGCTGTCAGGTGTTTCCCCTCCCTGGCTCCCCCCAAACCCCAAACTCTTCTGTGGGGTCTGACCTGACCTTCATTTTGACATGACCTGATATGACGCCTTCATTTGAAAACTGCATTGCCACCTGCAAGTTTGCAGCATCTCTTCCCAGTGGAATGCATCAGAGCTGGGGATAGGGCTCTGTGCAGATGCAGGGGACCTGGGTTCAATCCCCAGTACCGCCAAAAAGAAGGAGAGAGAGACAGATCCCTGGCCCTGGCCCTTCAGTGTCACTTGTCATTTAGATCATGGCTCAGAAGTCAAGTTTCTGGAGCCAGGAAGATGGTTCAAAGGGCTGGGAATACCTGTTTGGCATGTGGGAACCCCAAGTTTGAGCTCTGGCACAGCATTATCTCCCCAAGCACCACAGGGGAGCCCTTGAGACCCGCCTCGCACCCTCCAAAAAAGTCACTCTTTCCTGGCCTCATTCACACTACTCCTGCACAGTTCTACTTTCTTCAGAGACCTTAACACATTTCTTTGTTTATTGTATATTTGTCTGACTTGGGGACAAGGATGCAATCTTTTTTTTTTTTTTTTTGCCTTTTGGGTCACACCCAGCAATGCTCAGGGGTTACTCTTGGCTCTGCACTCAGGAATTACTCGTGGCGGTGCTTGGGGGACCATATGGGATGCTGGGGATCGAACCAGGGTCGGCTGCATGCAAGGCAAATGCCCTACCCGCTGTGCTATCACTCCGGCCCCACAAGGATGCAGTCTTTATCTACATCTTGGCATGAGCCCAGAGAAGTAGTACAGTGGGTAGGGCGCTTGCCTTACACATTGTTCATCCTGATTTCATCCCCTGCACCCCATATGATCGATCCCCAAGCACCACCAGGGGGATCCCTGAGCACAGAACCAGGAGTAAGCCCTGAGCACCGACAGATGAGGCCCCCAAACAAAAAAGATATCTTGGCAAATTTTAAAGTATATTATTAGCACAGAATTATTTATATTAATGTTTAACGTATATATCCGTTAAAAAGAGACAAATTAAATTTGTTAGTATGTCATTCACTTACAGTTTTGTGGAATTTCAGAAGTTTCACTCTGTTCATTTCAGTGTTAGTTGTTACCACCTCCACAAAAGGAAGGAGGAAGGGAGGGAAGGAAGAAAAAAAGGAAGGGAGGGAGGGAGGATCTTTTCCCTATGTGAGATGAAAAAGAAACATAGTAAGGGAACAATAAATGACCAAAGTGGTGGGACATGAACATTTTGACTAGGGAACTGAGCTTCCTTTGGAAGAGGCAGCAGGCTCTCAGCTGCATGAAAGGGTAAGTAACACGGTTAGAAAGCCAGGTACTGGGGGCGGAGCAATAGCACGGCAGGTAGGGCGTTTGCCTTGCATGCGGTCGACCCAGGTTCGATTCCCAGCATCCCATATGGTCCCCTGAGTTTGGCCAGGAGTAGTTCCTGACTGCAAAATCAGGAGTAACCCCTGTGCATCGCTGGGTGTGACCCATAAAGCCAAAAAAAAAAAAAAAAGGACTTAGGGGGAAGAAAAAGATATGGTAGAGATGACACAAGGGAGAGAGGGCCATGCTTTGCCAAGTGGGAGCCCCTGGGTTCTAATCCACGCATCACATGGGCCTCTGGCACCACTAAGAACAAACCCACAACCTGGAAGCAGCACCTGAGCACCAGGCATTGCCTCCCCCCCCCCCCCAAAAAAAAATACAACTATTGGGGCTGGGGCTGGAGTGACATACAGTAGGGAGGGCGCTTGCCTTATGGCCAACCTGGGTTTGATCCTTGGCATCCCATAGGGTCCCCGAGCACCACCAAGAGTAAGTCCTGAGTGCAGAGCCAGGAGTAACCCCTGAGCATCTTCGGGTGTGAGCCAAAAAGAAACAGATAACTATCTTGGGATGGGGGTCAGGGGGAGGTACGCAGTGGTAGAACACTTGCATGTTTGAGCCCCTGAATTTGACTCTGATCCCCAGCACCCCGAAAACAAATCAGTCTTGTTCCTTACTCCAGTGCCTCGCTCTGCCTGGCACTTGGTGAATGCTTCCTAACTAGTTGTCTTCGGAATGAAGGCTACTCCAGTCACGGATCAGTTGACCGCAGCTGCACACATCAGTGTCCATCGAAGGCAGGCGACACCTGGAGGACATGTAGACAGGACGCAGGCTGGCACCCAGGCCATGCAGTGTCTTCCTCAGCCCTGATTCTCCACTGCCCATTCCGCATTGGGAGCGGACTTTTTTTTTTGGGGGGGGGGGATCACACCCGGCGATGTCCAGAGGTTACTCCTGGCTCTGCACTTAGGAATCACTCCTGGCAGTGCTTGGGGGACTATATGAGAAGCTAGGAATTGAACCCGGGTCGGCCATGTGCAAGGCAAACGCCCTACCTGCTGTGCTATGGCTCCAGCCCCTCATTGTTTTGTTTTGGGGCCACACCTGGTGGTATTTAGAGCTCTGTGCTCAAGAGTCACTCCAGGTGGGGCTCAGAGGACCAGGCGTGCTGGGGACCAAACCCAGGTTGGGCGTGTGCAAGGCAAGCACCATCCCCACTTTCCTGTCGCTCTGGCCCGACTTTGCCACTCTGGACCCTGATGCATTAGACTGAGCTGGTGAGGCTGGTTTCAGAGGGTAGGTGAGAACATTAGAGCACCATGTAGCACAGTGTTTGTTTATTCTCGAGTGATTAATGGCTTGATTAATGGCATCATTCATCAGCCCGGGTGGTATTGATTGGCAGACAGAAGCCTAGTTTCTGTCCCAACCCCAGACTAGGGGTAGCGGCTCAGCACTGCAGGGCATCACCCAAAAACCAAAACCAAAAAGCAAATTGCCTTGGATAAAAAAACAGTCAAGATGAGTTACGGCAGGTTTGTTTTTATTTTTTTTGGGGGGGTCACACCCAGCGATGCACAGGGGTTACTCCTGGCTCTGCACTCAGGAATCACCCCTGAAGGTGCTCAGGGGACCACATGGGATGCTGGGAATTGAACCCAGGTCGGCTGCGTGCAAGGCAAACGCCCTACCTGCTGTGCTATTTCTCCAGCCCTATCCGTCAATTTTTTTTTGTTTTGTTTTTTGTTTTGTTTGCTTTTTGGGTCACACCTGGCGATGCACAGGGGCTACTCCTGACTCTGCACTCAGGAGTTACTCCTGGCGGTGCTCAGGAGACCATATGGGATGCTGGGAATCGAACCCGGGTTGGCCGCGTGCAAGGCAAACTCCCTACCTGCTGTGCTATCTCTCCAGCCTCCCTATCCGTCAATTTTAAAGGTGCGCTCTTACCTGTTTTCAGTGGGGCATAATCCAACACTGGGTCGACTGTGGGCATTGGGCAGGCGGTGGAGTACTAGATTGTAAGGAGTGTAATACACCCCTGGTGTCAAGAAGAATGTTCGTCCGGTGGCAGACAGCTGGCTATATTAAGTAAATGATTGTCAGTATCGTTCTGTGTTTAGTACTACCTCAAGTTGCTCGGTGGCACTAAGTACCCTCCACTTCCCATTCTTCTCTCTCCCCTGCCCCGTCCCCCTTAGCCTGCCTCCTTCAGATGGAGCCAGTGAACTACGAACGTGTGAAGGAATACAGCCGCAAAGTCCTGGACCGCCAGCCTGAGAATGCCAAGGCCTTGTACCGGGCTGGAGTGGCCTTTTTCCACCTGCAGGACTATGACCGGGCCCGACACTACCTCCTGGCTGCTGGCAGTCGGCAGCCCAAAGGTGCGGGAGGAGGGTGCGGGCATGGGAGCGGGAGGACAGAGCGAGGCCCTGTGACCACGAGGAAGGAGATTTCATTTGACTTGACTTCGGCAGTATATCGCATTGAGACTAGTGAATCCATTCCTGTGGTTGGAAATTCAGAACTGCACGCGAGTGTATAAATGAACAGCATTCTACGCTTATATTTCTGTCTGCACTGGAGAATAATGTGTACTTTTTAGAATTATAGAAATATTTGTGGTTGTCGAAATATTGGTGATACTCTGTACTATATCCCATCCTCCCTGAGAGAGAATAATCTTTGGGGATGGGACCGCATGCAGTGGTGCTTTGGGGAATATACTATACCTGGCGCTGTTTTTTTTTTCCCCCTTCTTTTATTTATTTTCATTTAATTTAGTTTTATTTTTTGAATTACCATGAGATACAGAGTTACAAAGCTGATCATGGTTGGGTTTCAGTCATACAGTGTTCTAATTTTTTTCCCTTTTAATGATAGATTTTATTTTTTTTCCCCAATTTTTTGGGCACACCCCTGGCGATGCTCAGGGGTTACTCCTGGCTCTGCACTCAGGAATCACTCCTGGTGGTGCTCGGGGACCATATGGGATGCTGGGGATCGAACCCAAGTCGACCGCATGCAAGGCAAACACTCTCCCTGCTGGACTATCGCTCCAGCCCCTAGATTTGAAATATTAACATGCTTTGGAAACAAGATATGGGGCTTGGGAGAAGGAATTTATTTATTTATTTATTTATTTTTTGTTGTTGTTGTTTTTTGGGTCACACCCAGCGATGCACAAGGGTTACTCGTGGCTCATGCACTCAGGAATTACTCCTGGCGGTGCTCGGGGGACCATATGGGATGCTGGGAATCGAACCCGGGTCAGCCACGTACAAGGCAAATGCCCTACCCACTGTGCTATTATTGCTCCAGCCCGGGAGAAGGAATTTAATCCACACATGCTTTCTGGCCTTACTAAAGACCATTTGGGAATAATGGCCTCTCAGAAAAAAATGGGACTTAAAAGTCCATTTTAATAATTTTGTAGCCAGAAGCATTTTAAATAAAAAGAAAAAAAGAAAAGAAAGTCTTATTTGATTTGGTTGTCGGGCCACGCCCATCTGTGTTCAGGGCTCATTCCTGTCAGGCTTGGGGGACCCTATGCGGTGCCAGGAAAGGAAACTGGGTCAGCCACGTGCGAGGCAAGCATCCTCCCTGCTGTTCTATTGCTCCAGCCTCCAGCCCCCAAAAGAGTTTTGTTTTTTTTTTTTTTTTGGTTTGGGGGCCACACACAGCTGTGCTCAGAGCTTATCCCTGGTCCTGCAGTCAGAGATCATTTCTGGCAGAGTTCAGGGAAACATGTGGGGTGCCCAGGATCAAACCCAGTCCGGCCATGTGTAAGGCAAGTACTCCGCCTGCTGTACTATTACTCCTGCCTCCCACCCTCCACCCCGAAAGGGATTTTAAAGCATTGGTTTTCAGGGGGACTAAAATAGGATTTGTATTTCGGTGAATACATTTCATAATCGCCATCCCTGCCGACTCTCCAGCTGGGGTCTGGCCTATCATTTTGTCCTTCGGCTCCACTAACCCCAGGTATGACCTAGAAAAGGGCAGGCCCGCTGAGAGAAGGCGAGTCTGGGGCTGTAAAGCGAGTGGCCGGCTCACTCTTTTTGATTTTTCAAGCACTGAAAAGTCCTCATTGGCACACACTGACTTCGAGTAGCTGCCGGACACAGAGCAGAGGCCTGGGTTTCACCCCCGTAGAGTCCCCCAAGTACCTCCAGGAGTGACCCCTGTGTGCAGAGCCAGGAGTAAGGCCAGAGCACAGCTGGGTGTGACCCAAAACCCACAACTCAAAGAAAGAAGTACACAGGAGCAGAGGTCCCTAACATAAAGGGACACTGGGAAGTGACTATTAATAGAAAGACAGGAGCCATTTGTACATCTTTATGACATAGATTTACTGCCACCGCATATAGTATTTTCAGAAGCTCTGCTCTAACAGTGACTCTTTCCAAAGTCCTCGGGGCCAGGGAGATAGTCCAAGAGGGCAGGCTACTTGGCTTGGCCTGCAGCCGTGGCAACCCCGACCCTAGCCCGAATCCCCAGAACCGTGGATGAGCTCCTGAACACTGCCGGAAGTGACCAACTCCAGCACAGAGCTGGGCGTGGCCTCTGAGCACCACCATGTATGGCCCTCATGCCCACACCCCCACCAAATAATAATAAGCCACTGGTGCGGGAGAGTGAGTTTGCTTGCTTGTTTTGGGGCCAGAAGTAGTGGTACTATTCCTTGTGGTATTCAGGACTGGTGTCAGGGATCAGACCCTGGCTGAGCACACACTAAGGCTCTCCTTGATCCATCTCCATCTCGCCAGCCTCTGGGTGGGGGTGGGGATGGATCTTTTTAAATTCAGTACCAGTGAAGGGGATGTACTGTTCTCATAGTCTGGATGTATTCAGATTACCAAAAGAACTTTTTTTGAGGGTTGGGGGGGTGGGGAACTGGAGTGATAGCCCTGCCAGGCGTTACATCTGACCTCAGAGCCAGAAGTAAGCCAGATAAAGCCCCCAAAGCCAGAACTTTTTTTTTTTTCTTTTTTGGGTCACACCCAGTGATGCTCAGGGGTTACTCCTGGCTCATGCACTCAGGAATTACTCCTGGCGGTGCTCGGGGAACAGCATGGGATGCTGGGAATTGAACTTGGGTCGGCCTCATGCAAGGCAAACGCCCTACCTGCTGTGCTATCGCTCCAGCCCGTCTTTTTTTTAAATGGGGTTGTGTTAACAATCCTCTATGGATTACTGAGATTCTGATCTGTGTCTTAATTGCCTTCTAAGATGCCAACGTGAAGCGGTACCTCCAGCTGACACAGTCACAGCTCAGCAGCTACCACCAGAAAGAGAAACAGCTCTACCTGGGCATGTTCGGTTAACGGAGAGAACAAGTCGATCCTCCACCAGACTGAGGGGGCCCGCCAAGGACCTGTCCAAGGGAAACCTGAGCCTCAGAGGGAATTTCGCCCCATACCTCAGACCCACCTGGATTTCTCTTTTTGTTTCTAGTCCTGTACAACTGTTAACTGCTTTCACAGTCTTTTTTTTTTTTTAATTTTTAACCTATCCATCTGTACATTTACATGTTTCATACATGACTATTCATCTGCTGTGGGTTGAATGAATCATACCTGTAGATTTTCATGATAGATGTCAGATGTGTTCATGCAGAGACAACTCGAAGACATTTCTTTTTTTTGTTACCTCGAACGCCCCAACCCAAACCAAAGTTATACAGACCGCAGGATAGGGAATTGTGTGTGTGTGTATGTGTGTGTGTGTGTGTGTGTGTGTGTGTATGTGTGTGTGTGTGTGTAACTTACCATTATAAATTGGGCTCACATTTCTAGGTCTAAGGATGTAGCTCAGTGGTGGAGAATTTGCCTCACATGTATGAGGCCCTGAGTTTGATCCCTGTCAATACAAAACAAGACATTAAACCCCGAGTCCTTTCTCCCCTTATTCCCTGGCAATGAAAAATAAATTAATTAAATAACAAATTGGGTCCCTGTATCTTAAAAGTATTTTTAGCTAACTTTTTTTTTTTTGGCTTTTTTTTGGGGGGGTCACACCTGGCGATGCACAGGGGTTACTCCTGGCTCCTGCACTCAAGAATTACTCCTGCCGGTGCTCAGGGGACAATATGGGATGCTGGGAATCGAACCCAGGTCGGAAGCATGCAAGGCAAACGCCCTACCCGCTGTGCTATCGCTCCAGCCCCCCTAACTTTTTGTTTTTTTGGGTCTCACCCGGCGATACTCAAGAGTTACCCCTGGCTCTGCACTCAGGAATTACTCCTGGCAGTGCTCAGGGGACCATATGGGATGCTGGGAATCGAACCCAGGTCGGAAGCATGCAAGGCAAACGCCCTACCCGCTGTGCTATCGCTCCAGCCCCAACATATTTTTTTAAAATTCTTCTTGTTACAGTAAATTAGTTTCTTCTTTAATATTCCACATACATGATGCTGAAGCGATAGCACAGCGGGGAGGACATTTGCCTTGCACGTGGCTGACCCGGGTTCAGTTCCCAGCATCCCCTAGGGTCCCCTGAACACCTCCAGGAGTAATTCCTGAGCATCCCTGGGTATGGCCCAAAAAGAGAAAAAAAAAATCTTCCACATACATTCAGGGGAGATCTATTGTTTTGGGGTGCTCAGGGACTACTCCCAGCTTGCTACTTAGGGGACTGCAGTGCCAAGGATTGAGCCAGGGCTTCCACCATGCAAAGCTCCAAACTTGAAGCTATCTTTGTCGGTCCTATTTAGGAATTTTGTGGGGGACACTCCTAGCGGTGGTACTCAGCACCTCCAAGGAAACCATCTGTGTTCTGGGGATCCAACTCCAGGCTCCTGAATACAAAGTACTCCAATGTAAGAAGGGGAAGAAGTGTGTATATATGTGTACACACACACCGACATATATATGCATACATGTACATATTAAAGCTGCCAAAGTAATTTAGAATTGGAACGGGGAGATGGTTCAAAAAGCTTCAGTTCATGCTTTTTGGAGCCTTGGATTTGATCCCTGGCAGGCCCCAGAACCACAGGGCCTAAGCATTATCATGTTGCTGATGGCTGAACCATCAGCCAGTAGCCTGAGAGTGTTAACAACGGTGACCCCAGGACCCCTGGTCACTGCTCCCCCCCCCCCCCAAGAAAAAAAGTCACAAGAAGGGAGCAAATGCAATGGGAAAGGCGCTTGCCTTGCATGTGGCTGACACAGGTTCAATCCCTGGTTCCCTATGGTCTGAGCCCACGAGAGTGATCCCTGAGTAAGTTGTGAGCACCTCCATGTGGTTCAAAAACAACCCACAAAATATGATACCTATCCTAAACAATTTCTAGTCCTTGCAATTATTCTTACTCAGGTAATTAATACAGCATTTTTTATTGAAATTAAATTCGGGGAGGGGGTGCTGGAGCAATAGTACAGCAGGTAGAGCACATCAGAGGGGCTTTGGTCTCTGTTCTCAGAAGTTTGTGAGGTGAGGACTTGCCTTGCACATGGCCAACCGGGGTTCGATTCCCAGCATCTCATATGGTCCCCCGAGCACCACCAGGAATAATTCCTGAGTGCATGAACCAAGAGTAAGTCCTGTGCATCGCCGGGTGTGACCAAAAAAAAAAAATTCTTCTATCTTAAACCCTATTATTAGCATTTGTTCGTGCCCAAAATACTCAATTTTTAATAGAAGCATATATATACATATATATATATGACATACTTCTTTCCTTAAAAGCATAGGAGAAACATTACTAAGTCTTCTAGAAAGGATACCATTAAGTGAGAAGAATAAGAATGTAAATCTTGGGGCTGTTGTGATAGCACAGCGGGTAGGGCGTTTGCCTTGCACGCGGCCGACCCGGGTTCAATTCCCAGCATCCCATATGGTCCCCTGAGCACCGTCAGGAGTATTTCCTGAGTGCAGAGCCAGGAGTAACCCCTGTGCATTGCCAGGTGTGACCCAAAAAGAAAAAAAAAAGTATAAATCTATTATTTAGGGCACCAAAAGTGCAAGGGGATGGGTCTTGCCTTGCATGTGGCCAACTTGTTTGGTGTCTGATACCCCATAGGGTCCCCCAGTCCCCACCAGGAGTGATCCCTAAAGGCAGAGTCGGGAGCAAGTCCTGAGCACCACCTAGGTGTGGCCCAAATCTATTATTTACCTCATCACCTGTTTTACTAACAAGAAACAAGATTTCTTCCTTAATGCCTTAAAACTACTAGTACTTTCTGGAAGCTGTTCTAAGTTCTGACAATTTTCTGGACATGGACACAGGTAGCAGATCTGATATGGTCATGACTCATTAAAAGGTTCCTTTGTCCTTCTGAATAATGTTCATACTTTTTTTTTCTTTTTGGATCACACTGGCTGATGCTCAGAGGTTACTCCTGGCTCTGCGCTCAGGAATTACTCCTGTTGGTGCTCGGGGGTGGGGGGACCATATGGGATGCCAGGGATCGAACCTGGGTCGGCTGCGTGCAAGGCAAACACTATCCGCTGTCCTATTACTCTGGCCGCAATGTCCACATTTTTGCAGAGTCCATGAGACCAGGGGTGCTGCCTCTCCCTTTGTGACTTTCAGTGAGAAGCCTGTCATTACCCTATAACCACAGATTTTCAGGAGAACATACAGTCTTGCTAAATGCACACAAGTTCTCAGTTGGTAATGCCCTTCACCCAATGAGCTGGGTCCTTTATGTGTTTATATATACCTTTTTTTAATTTTTATTTACTTTATAATTTTTATTCTTTTTGGTTCACACCCGGCAATGCACAGGGGTTACTCCTGGCTCTGCACTCAGGAATTACTCCTGGCGGTGCTCAGAGGACCATATGGGATGCTGGGAATCGAACCCGGGTCGTCCGCGTGCAAGGCAAACACCCTACCTGCTGTGCTATCACTCCAGCCCCTATATATACCTTTTTTAAATATATACCTCCAGTTTTTCCTGGAGTGCCTCCATCCCTCTCGGAGAGCCCAGCAAGCTACCAAGTAGGCCAAAAACAGTAACAATAACGGGTCTCATTCCCCTGGCCCTGAAAGAGCCTCCAATAAGCACCATTGGGAAGGACGAGTAGGGAAAGGCTGCTAAAATCTCAGCGCTGGGACTAATGGAAATGTTACTGGCACCCACTCAAATAACTTGATGAACAACGGGATGACTGGATGATGCGGATGCTTTTACTGGCTAATGTGGATATCCATGAACAGAAAAATGGAGCAAGTGCCAGTGTTTCTGTGGGTCTGGAAAGCCTTCCTGATCGCATGCGAAGGGTACATCAGAGGGGCCTCCGTCTCTGTTCTCAGAAGTTTGTGGGATAGGACGTTTTCCTCACACGCGGCTGACCCAGGTTCGATCCCTGGGATCCCATATGGTCCCCCAAGCATGCCAGGAGTGATTCCTGAGTGCGGAGCCAGGAGTAATCCCTGAGCATTGCCACGTGTGTCTCTCTACACGCCCCCCCCCCCCAAAAAAAATGGTTGTGGGGTGGATTTGTGAGTCTGATTGAAGAGAATACATTCAGAGTAGACCTGAAGGTTCATGCTTTGACACGTAACTAACAGTTCTCCTTGAACTCATACCCATCACCTTTTTTTTATTTTGCTTTTTGGGTCACACCCGGCAATGCACAGGGGTTCCTCCTGGCTCTGCGCTCAGGAATTACCCCTGGCGGTGCTCAGAGGACCATATGGGATGCTGGGAATCGAACCCGGGTTGGCCACGTGCAAGGCAAACGCCCTACCCATTGTGCTATTGCTCCAGCCCCACCCATCACCTTTATAATTTGGGAAGAGGGGTCTTTTTTTGGGGATCACACTGCAGTGCTCAGGCCTTACTTGGAGCTCTATATTTAGGGATCACTCCTGGTGGGGCTTGGAGAACTATATGGGGTGCCAGGGATTGAACCCGGGTCAGCTGCATGCAAGGCAAGCACCCAATCTTCCATACCTTCCATATTATTGCTCTGACCTCTCTACTATTTTGCCAATATCAAATATTACTATTGAGTCAACATTTTTTTGTGTTGCTTTTTTGGGGGGGATGGGGTCACACCCAGCGATGCTCAGGGGTTACTCCTGGCTCTGCACTCAGGAATTACTCCTGGCGGTGCTTGAGGGACCATATGGGGTATCAGAGATTGAACCTGGATCGGCTTCATGCAAGGCCCTACCCTCTGTTGCTCTGGCCCCAACATTTTATTTCTTAAATGTTAAGGAACTCTGGGGCAAAGGACTACAAATCTGAATCTGTCAAATGATACCAGGAGGATATAATCAGCAAACTACAGTATGTGAAATCATATCACAAATAGCCCAATTTCTTCTATAAAAACAATCATTAAAAAAAGGTTTAAGACACAGCAACCAGGGA